CAATTTGTTTTTGATTTATTTCATGTATTTGATTTGTTAATTTATTCGCCCATACACATAATCTTTGGTGGATTTCCGCAAGTGATTTTTTAGCGCATTTGTTTGCTATGCAGGCAACAGCTAGGGCTGCCAACAGCACGCCCCGGAAATGTAATAGAGCGGCACGGGCAGGGCCATTAAGAAGGCTCTTTTTTTTTTTAATATCTTACTCTTGAAACTTGTATTGGCAATAAGCCAAAAAAAAAAAATTAGCTAAAATAATTTCCAGAGAGAGAGACTGGGTTTTAGATAGAGATTCAAGTTTTAGACAAAGAAAGAGAGTTTGTGTTCCTAATGAGAGAGAGAGAGTGAGTTTTAGAGAGAAAGAGAGATTGGATTTTAGAAAAGAAGATATTGCGTTTAGAGAGTATTAGTTTCTAGAGAGAGAGAAATTGTGTTGCTAGATATAATAGGTTTCTAGAGATAGTAAGATAGATTGAATTTTTAAAGAGACATTTAGTTTTTAAAGAGAGATTGAGTTTCTCGAGAGATTGGGCTTTTAGAGAGATCATAGACTTTTAGAAAGAGAGATTGAGTTCTTTGAGAGAGAATGACCGACTTTTTAGATAGAGAGAGAGGGGGAGATTGTGTTTTTAGAGAGAGAATAACGTTTTAAAGAGAGAAAAAGAGATTGGATTTTCTAAAGAGAGAAATTAGATTTTAGAGAGAAATTGATTAGAGAGAGAATAGATTTTTAAAGAGAGAAAGAGAGACTGAGTTTCTAGAGAAAGATAATGAGTTTTTAGAGGAAAAAAAGAGAAATTAGGTTTTCAGAGAGAGAAAAAGCTTTTAGAGAGTAAGAGAGCTTGAGTTTTTAAAGAGAAAGAATGGGTTTTTAGAGATAGAAAGAGAGATTAGATTTTAGAGAGAGAAAGAGAGAGCTTGAGTTTTTAGAAAGGGATATTGAGTTATAGAGATAATGGGTTTTTAGAGAGAGAAAGAGAGATTGGTTTCAAGAGAGTGAAAAAGAGATTGAGTTTCTAGAAAGAGATTGGGTTTCTAGAGAGATAATAGATTTTTAGAATGAGAGATTGGGTTTTTAGAGGGAAAATGAATTTTTATAGAGAGAAAGATTGTATTTCTAGAGAGAATGAGTTTTTAGGGAGAGAGAGATTGGATTTCTAAAGAGAGAAAATTTATTTTAGAGAGAAATTAGTTTTTAGAGAGAGAATATGTTTTTAGAGAAAGAAAGAGAGATTGGGTTTTTAAAGAGAGATAATAAATTTTTATATAGATAAAAAGATATTAGGGTTTTCAGAGAGAGAGAGAGTGAGATTTTAGAGAGAGCAAGCAAGATTAAGTTTCTAATGAGAGAGAATGGGCTTATAGGAAAGAGAGATTGGGGTTTAGAGAGAGAAAGAGAGCTTGAGTTTTTAGACAGTGAGATTGGGTAGAAAGAAAATGAGTTTTTAGAGAGAGAAAGAGAGATTGAGTTTTTAGAGTAAAAAAAAACATATTGGCTTTCTAGAGAGAGAATAGATTTAAAATTTTTTTTAAAATATTTTAGCATCTATTTATTTTATTTTAGCTTACTACCAACAATAAAAGTTTGAAGAGTGAATATTTATATATAAAGTTTTTTTAAAAATAATACTAAATATGCCGGGCTGGGCTTAGTGTGCTGGGTCTCAATGTCTTTCGCCTGGCAAGCCCCGCCCTTTGGGCACGTTTTCGGGGTTTTCCTGGCCAATTGGGCCCAGCCCATTAAAGATCCAACCCAGACCATGACCGGAGGCCCGGCCCGGACCATTGACAGCAATAGCGACAACTCTGTTTAGGAACAGTTTTACCAAATATATTATTTCTCGCAAATTCTCAACTGAAAACAAAATTCATTTGCAAGAAATCAATAATTTTCATTAAACAAATCGCGTCTTATTGCATCAATGCTTAAAAGCCATAGGCACTTAGCCCCTATCTAAATGTGTTCACACTTCACGGGGATTTACTTGTTATAAAAAGGTATTAAAAGGCAACCCCCACAACAATGGAGACACATATATAACACCCACCCAACCCAAAACCGTAAGGCAAGAGATGGAATTGTATCATCTGGTCTTTCCCCTTCTTTTATTGCTTCTCTCTCTTACTACTTCCTCAGCTGATCTCCCTTCTCATGGTCTCTCTCTCTATTTGCTGGGCGCTCCAAATGCCTTGATTTGTTGCTATTATTATACATCTCTTATTATAGTGTTGTCAAGGTTTGATATATTATTATGTGGCTGAAAGATGAGGTCTTGATGTGGTCTATTGATAGATACAAGTCAAGGTTTTTTTTTTCTTTTGATTTGTTCCCACAAGTTATGATGGGAACTTTGCTTTTTTGGGAACTCATGCCTTGCAATGTTATCTTTCCTCCATTTTTAGTATTCAGTTGTGATGATTGTTCGTCTGCTTGATAGTAGGGTCTCAACATAGAGTTTGTGTAAATTACCGTAAGAATTAGGCCAAAAAATTAGGATGCTTTCCAGGAATGTGAAACTTCTATGGAGGTGAAGCAATTGAAATGTTTTCACAAAAAATTTCTTATATTTATTGAGTAGTGTTTAATCATATGTTTCTTGAGAGCTTGGCTAGGTCTCTTGGTGTTTAAACGTGTGATACATTCTAACAAGCTGAGAATTGATCTGATGATATGACAGTTGATTTCATGTGTTTGCTGCTTATCAGTTTCTATTTGTTCCAGTCTATTTGCCTACTTCAATCTTTTTTCTTTTGATGATTCCACTTCTAAATTGCTTTGGCTTTCTTTTGAAAACAAATATTTACGACCACTTAGAAGCTTGTGCCTTCGACTCTAATAGATATTGCTTATGCAAGATTGATGAGAAAATACCCTGGAGTCTTGTTTGCATTTTAGGTATTGGCTTGTATGGAGTGTCCTTTTCTCTTTTTGCTTATTGGGCTCGCAGTAGCTAAATTAGAGATAGAAACAACTTCACTTTCAAAGTAGGGGATACAATATTAGTACATTACAACATATTATTAATATCATAGGAGTGAAAATGTAAGTCTTGATGCCGAAGGCATAAAAGACGGGATATAGAGGCACTAGCAAATTGATGCAAGCCTTTCACATATAGATAATGATAGCATGGTGCTGGTGTGAGCAGTGAGAATTTAAGGCGGAAAAGTTGATTTTTTTTTGGTATGGATAGCGGCTAGATGATGCAGTATAAGTATTGAACAGGATAACATAAAAACAAGAATATAGATGATAGCAAGGAATAGCAGGATAAATGGGGGTCATTAAGGAATGCAGAAAGAGGTGAGGAAATAAGTGTCGGGATGACAAGGAAATGTTGTTGCTTGGAGTACGAATGTGGCAATAGGAGTGTGTTTCCAAGAGACATCAAGCACCCAATTTATCCTCTGTATGTCAACTGACGCATCACAAGGATAATGTTTTCTTTTTTTTCGGAACTGTGAACTGTTCTATTAGTAAAGGCGGGGGTGATACAAGTAGAGAATAGATGCTGCATCAGAAGAATAATGTTGAATCAGGAATTTGAGAAGACCAAGGGTATGCTATAGTTACTCGTGCCCACATAGCTACATTGCATATGTGTAAGGGTTGACTTTGCAAAAGTCAGAAGATGGTGTAGCAACAAACAATAGTCTAGTAGCCTGGTTTGAAATTTATGTTGCAAGTTTATCAAGTGGAGATGGAGGAACTTGTACGAAAATTTCTAAAATTGGCCAGGGAGAGGAATATTAGGGGAACATAAAACAATCTTCATTAGGGACATTTAGGAAAGATGCTTGCTTTACATGATTTCCCAATCCCATCCACATATCTTAAAGGGACCCACTGAGGTTGTTTTAGGTTTCCAGAATTAGTCAAACAGTTGAGCATAAATAGAGGATCTCAAAGTGATAAAAGATTTTTATTTGTTAGTTTTGAGAGCGACAACAATTGTCCCCAATTTTCTGTATGTGATGTTCTGATAATATTTTGGAGGCAGAGCATGTTTCAGCCATCATATATGACTGAACAAGATATAACTCGTTCCATGTTAAAATAAGGCATCATGTAGAAATTGAGACATAAATAACTATGCTAGAAAATAATCAAGAAAGGAAACTAAGAAATAAAGAGAAGTTCATGTTTAAAAAGGCGGGCACTCTGATGGAGGAATTGCTAGATGAGCTATATTTTGTGTAGACTTAGTTTACTTGGCGAAGGAGCCCGACCTCATTTATATGGAGGGTAGGATGGCTTTATGGTAGAAATTTGCATGGGAGACATAACCTTCAGACCACAACATTGATATGCCCTTTCTTTTTCTTGCTTTATTTTTCTTGGTATGTCATTTGAACCTGGGATATACTGTTGCAATCATCAACACGTTAACCAATGTAACCAATGCACAAATCCCTGCACTGGGATAAACATACAGACATAACAAAAGTACAAAGAGAGAAAAAGGACATCCAGATGTATTGAGCTCAGTTCCTCAATAAGCTATGCTTGCACATGCAACTCTCTCAGTTTACTAATTTGTTTAACGTGCCTAGTTTTGTTGATTAGTGGCTTAGGAGTCTTGAATGGTTCATCTTTCTATGTATAGAATTAGAAATATGTTTTGTTGATCAGTGGCTTAGGAGTCTTGAATGGTTCATCTATCTATGTATAGAATTAGAAATATGCAATTGACATGATTAGTGGTTTTGATGTTGTCAAATTGTTTACCATTAGTTCTTGAATGCAAGGAAGATAAAACTTAAAGGACACGGTTTCTAGAGTCCATGTAGAAATGAGCCCGCCTCTTAAAAATCTATTTTTGAGATGGATTTTTTGACCTAATTTTTAGGACATGTAATCTCTAACATGGAGATCATGAATATGAAAAAATAAATAAATTTTGAAAATTAGAAATAATAATTCTATTAAGAAAACATTTGGAACTAACATTTGGACTGTTAGTTTCAAATGTTTTTAGATGGACTACCTATTTGCATCCATCTTTAAGATAGATGCTTTATACCTTAGGACTGCATATTGTAGACATGCGGTCCAGCCCGCATCAAACAATTTAACGTACTTAAATCTGCACACAGCAGCAAGAAGGGGATAGTAGTTAATTCTTGTGAAGTGTTTCTATATTTTCTCTCAAATCTTGTGTTTATTCAAATTTTGTCACTTCCGTATTTTTGTTAAACAATTAGATATCATTTATGTGGTTATTTGAGCTTTTAAACCACTGGCTAGTCCAGTCCGGACCAGATTGAACACTTCCAATTTGAAGACAAGTCTGTTTCTTGTAACAGTCATTCTCATGGATGTGAATAGGGGATGCGTGCTGTATTTTCGAAAACATGAAAATCCCTGCTATCAGTGCTTGGGTGCCATTTTTTTTCATAATTGTCTGGTGGAAATTCAAATTCATGGTTGCTTCTTATGGTTGATGAGGCTATTCCCATGAACTACCGGCCACTTTCAGGGGATCTTTGCTAGTTATACTACATATTTCTAGTTGTGCTTGACAGTGTTCTATGTTGAATGCAGACATTACGTGTGTGTGTGTCTTTGAGAGATAGGTTGCCAAAAGGAAAAGATAATTCATATTCTTTCATCACATGTTGTGGAGATAATTTTTGCCTCCTGTTCTTGCCAAGTTTTGCTTATTTATGCTTTTGCTTATCTTGTTTTGGAAAAGGTTTTGGTTGTTAGCGTTGCTCTATCTTTTAACAAGTTAGCAATCTATTTTATCTGATATTATGACATTTACATGGAAAGTTTTATTACTTCCCTGGGATTTTAAAATTTGGAATATCGGCCAGTGGATTCTTTTGGGTTTTCTTACTTCAATATACTTTGGTTAAGTGTCTAACTCAGATTTTCTAATTATCAAATATGCTGACTTGTATAGAATTTGGATGGTTCATGAGGAGCTTCTTATCTGTTTCTGCTGGACTATGTGTTACTGTAGAAAAAAATTCTGATTGGTTTTTATGTAATGATAGGGAGTTGTTGAAGTGAGACCTGTCGAAGTAGAATAAAATAAAATAAAAAATCTGATTGGTTTCTATGTAATGATAGGATGCTATTGGACTGAGACCTGTCAAAGTAAATGGATTGGAGGATGTGGATCAGGTCGTATTGTTGTAGATCAGTCTGATGACTGTCATGGGCTTTGTTCGGAGTCAAAATATCCCCCATGTATTCCATTTTACACTCGCTTCCATTGCTGCAAACCAGGTCAGGTACAGCTTTTATTGAAATAAGAATGTGTAATACAAGTCATATGTTCCATTGTAATTTTCTTACGTCTATTGTATGTCATTTAAATCAGATTCTTGTTTTCTTTTATTGACTTCTGAATAAATTTTAAGTGCCAACTTTGTTGTTTGAAGTCATGAATATTTGAATGATAAGGAATCGATAGCTTCATGGTCATCTGCATCATTCTCACTTTGTTTAGATCATTTACTTCTTCAACACAGGAGATAGTAATTTATGATGTATAAAGTGATTGGTTGGCATAAAAAAAACTTTTAGTAGGGATTTGTGCTACAATGTATGGATTGGCTCTCACTCATATCTTATTGTTGCTTTAAGATATTGTTGGCCTGAAATTAGTAAAGACACTATGCTTTTATATAGCTTTTCTGAAGTAACTAGGTAATAACTGTCAATATATACACTCCGATATCATTTTTTATACCGGAACCTTTGCCAGCAGTCACTCTTGGTGATCTGTTGCTCACTGAGAAATCTTAGGTTGGATACCTTCCAAGATATTCTTCAATCCTCTCTACTTATTGCCCAAAGAGAGGTCTTAAGCCAGGTTTTACAGAAAGCTCATCCTCTGAAGATGATACGCTCTCCTGCTTGTCTGTTTTCTCACCCTCAGGGGTGCTAAGTATGAACCATATGACTGCTCATTTCTTGTTTCATATACTTCCCCACAATCGTAATGTGTGGTTTGTGTAATGCTTGCAAAGTCTCCAAATAACTGAGGATGTAAATTGAAGTTCATTTACAAACATGCTCTTGATGAGCCCATATTTGGTTGTCCTTCGTTTCCATTTACTTCATAGATTTCTTACACTGAGGTGATTATGCTTTTGCAATACTCTTTCGGATAATACGTGACTTGAATGATATGCATTCGCTGCCATGTTGCTTATGAAATCCCAAAATATTTTAGGTACTATTATTGCTGCATGTTTAGTAATATGTTCAATTGGGAAACATGAAGGAGTTGGTCCCTGTCTGTTTAGATAATATTTGAGGTCCTCATTGATGTTAACTACCATCCAATACTACATCTTGCAATGTTGAAAAATTTGGCCTTCCAGTCACCTAGGCGGCGAGAAGACCAAAACGCCTAGGCCAGTTTCCTAGGTGTCATCATCTAGGTGCCTGCCTGGGCAGCGCCTCGATTCAGGCAGTCCGAGGGCGGAAATAGGCCCTAGGCAAGGGGTATTTTGGGTATTTCCCCCTAAAAAGGTGGGAAAAGGGTTTTGGGGAGCATTCTAGTCTACCAAAACCCTTTATGTGTATTTTGGAGACAGAAAAATGCTCCAAAAACTTAGATTTTGAGAATTTTCTCAAGATAAAAAAGAATTCCAATAGTTTTGATTTCTTGCGAAATTAAAAGATATTCTTCCTTATAATCTTTGGAGCTTTGAGTGGTCTCATACGAGTACTTTTGGTGGCCAAAGATCACTGGTTTGAGCTGGTATCCGTTTCATTTTAACATCAAAATGCATGGACATCAAAATGCATGGACATGAGAAAAAAATGAATTTCATCTCGACATCAAAATGCATGGACATGAGAAAAAAATGAATGTCAAGTTTTGGAAATAATGCATCTTGTAACGCATTTTTGGACCGTCAATTTTGCAAGATTTTCAAGTTTTCATAGATCTGCTCAATCGACATTATTTTTGAAGCTTTAAATTTTATAATTAAAGATGAAAATATATTCTATCACAAAGATTTTCTTGTATTGAACGCATATTTCTCGACACTATTTTAAGGTGGGCTTTAATTTGATTGTTTAGAGCCTCGGCTCTATACAAACCGCACCCTTTTGTGAATAGTTTGAAACTTCAAAATAAATTGATGTTTTGTTAAAATTTGAATCGCAAAATCAAATCTCAAGGATATAATGTTATGTGATATGCTCAAGGGTTTTGGGGCCCTAAAAACTGCCCTAAGATGTCCCTAGGGGAACTAAACCCACCCTTTCCCTAAGAACTCCTTGGGGGCCTAGGCTGTCCTTGTTCCTAGTCAGGCGCCAAGCTGCCTTGTTGGCCAGGCCCCCTAACTGCCTAGGCAGGCGCATCCGATTTTGTGAACATTGATGTCTGGCAACTATGAGTTGCATAATTGTTGATTTTGCAGTTTATGTGGTCAACTAAGAAGTCTAAGATAGCTAAAGTAGTTTTCAATTTGTAGCACTTTCAAGAATATGAGCATCCATATTTCATGGGTCTTGAATTCCACATAAACAGGGTATTTATTTCTTTCATAATCAAATCCTTTCTTATCATAGTATATTTCCTTAATTTTTTTTTGTTGTGGCTGTAGCGTGTTACTCATTCATCATCTCTTTGTATGCCACTTTTAAGGACCTAATTTGGATGCACATGCTATCATTGGTAATTCACTGCTATAATGTTACAACTAATAATGGCTTATTAGTTGTTTGATGATGTCCTGTAGTAGTTTATGTGAGATAAAGTCATCACTTCTTTTTCATATACATTATCTTGTTTAAAAAAAATAAAACTGTTTTTATTTAATCACTCATAACCTTCTTTATTTTATCGGGCCCTTTTTATTTTCGAAGGCCACAGCTTGTATGCCTAACCTTCAAGCTCGCTTGACTCTGCATGTCCTTCCGTAATAAACTCTCGCTCTCGTTTCATCTCTATTTCTCTCTACACACACACACACACACACACATAATAGATAATGTCCCCCCTTCTTATTATCTTTTACTCATGGTCCCGTTATCTCGAGTGCCAACTCGAATTCACTTCTTTAATGATGCGATCGGTGAAGGTGTTAGTTTTAGTAATAAGTTTTAGGGGGACGAGAGACTTGTCTTTATTGAGTTCAATTATTTGGGCTTTCATGAAATCGATAACTGGTGGGATACTTACCGAAGGTCAGGACAAGACGTAAAGGCTTCTCTTGGAATGGAGATGACTTGTAATTTTGTTCGGTGTGGCTCTGGTTTTTTGTCTTCGAACTGAACTTGTAGTTCTTCTCCCATTATGACCTGATTCAGCCCCTCCTATCGCCATGAGAGCTCAAGTAGTTGAGATGAGAATTGCAGAAGCATGAGGGGGAAAGCAATCAAGAAGAATCCATTGAGACTGGTATTGAAGAAATGAATGAAATTAGGGCAAAGTCATTACAAGCCATTGTTACTTATCAAGAGAATGAAGCAAATAGGATATTTGGGTGACAAGATTGTCCAGTATCAAAAGTTTCAAGTTTTCTTGGTGGAATTGGGAAATTTGAAAGTGTAGATAACGGTTTGTTTTTATATTGCATCTTCCCAATTTGGGACAGGAAGTTCTTGTCCTAAACCATTTGTAATTTTGAGTAATTGGGGAATAATTTCTTAGTTTCTTCAATTTTTTGATGCTTGTGTTCTCTTGTGGGTTCTTAGAGTCCAAGATGAATAGGGTATCATTCTAATTTTCTTCACATTTTTTATTCTTTTTGCATATATATTTATTTTGGCTTTTTTAAATTTTTTTGGTTAATTGATTGCAGAGGAAGAAATAGTTATTTTTCTTTCTTCTGCGAATTGAAGAAAAATAATGACCTATGTGTTAACAATGAGAGAGAACTAATGTCAATTACTTACCCAAAAAAACCGACTAATGTTAATTTGGTGTCGAGTTAAACTCATCCAAACAAAATATTTACACAAATTAAAGATAGACCTATGTATATAATGGTGCTGCCAAACAATTAATAATATAGTACCATCAATAATATAATACTATAGGGAATGTATTAATCTTAGATATAGTAATGCATTCATGATAGAATTAACTTTCATCGAAACTGGCACTAATCCTACAAATATGACATTGCTCTATGAATCGTACTTTACTTTTGAGGTTCACTTGCATGTCAAAAAACACTGAAAATATAACAGCTAAGTGTTACCTTGATCAATAAAAGAGACATAGTATCAAGATCTTCCTGTAGAAAGCACTGGTGCAGCTTCCAAACCTTAGAATGAATATTTCTGTGTATTGAAGTATTCCAGAGCATCGCTGTCACACAGAATGTTCTGCAGGTCTACAATTTTCACAGTTCACACCAACATTGGTACACAAACCACGGGTAGCACCGAAAATGCTTGACATGAAAAGTGTATTGAAGTCTACTTAAGTAAGGATCTCCAATGTGGCACTACCATGGTTTCCATTGGATGTTAAGCTCTATTAATTTCCTGATTTGAGGTAGCAAGAAGGCCTGAGGCTGACAGAGTAGCAGCAAACAGTTCTAAACAGTAAATGGAAGAGCTAGCCAACCTTACAATCTTCCCAGTCACTTTTACCATTATCACAGTTGTCCCCAAACTAACTTCAGAGTTCTTTTCAATAACAGAAATATTGTTGTGGCTAACTTGGGGAATATATAACCTTAGGTCAAGGAATGCTGTGAATTTGGTTGAACACTGATAGGAGTATAAACCTTTTTAAGAGGTGGCATAAACAGTAAGGATGCTAATTTAACCTGTGCATGGTTGAGGCTTGACAAGCCATATGATAGGATGTTAGGTCAATATCATCCTTTTCTCTGGGCTATGGTATTGAGAGAGATGCCGTTATTGTGTTTAAAGGACTTAAAATAGGCTCACTGGCTAAGGAGGTAATACCCTGTTCCTAAACAATATTGGCGTGTCATGTTACTGATTTTCCACATGTTGGTCAGGAAGCAAATTACGCAGGAGATGGATCTTGTGAAATTTCGATTAAATAGTGAAGGTTGGGTAACTTGGTCTCTTGTAGCTACGATATTTTTTGCTTTTGAATTGTTTCACAATTGTTTTCTGATGAAATTTTGTTGCGCATTAGAAAGATATGTTTGTTTTAGTTTGACTATTCCACCCTTTCCTTTTTATCATCAATCTAAGAAACTTCCCCATATTTGTTGTTAACTAGCAAATTTAAATTATTCTAAAAGCAAAGTGTTGGACAGATGTATGGAAAGGCATGCAGGATATTCAAGACATGACAGGTTAGGAATGAAAATGAATTTGTCAGAGATCTGATAATGAAAAGAAAGTAAATCTGATTCAATGGACAAAAAAAACGATCTGTAGGTTGGGTTGACATGTGCAATCAAAATTGGTAGAAATAATTGCATGACAGAAAATGAGGCTGATGTATATTGAAAATAAGAAGTACATTGGATGTTGGATGTTGAGTTAACATGAATAAGAAAATAAATCATTTGAATTTGAATTTAAAAGAATCAAATTTCAATATAAGTGCACAGCACTTCAACGCAAAACTGATGCAAGAATGATGCTAAGATTGAATCTTTCTTGAATTACATGATTGCTGAGAATTCACAGCTTTAGCTTTTTGTTTTGTCAAATTTTCAGAAACACTAGATCTCACCGTTTGCTGTGGTTACATATCAATGATTAGTGCTTGATCAATATGGATTATGATAGGATATGGGGATTTTTACTAGCTAACTGATCAATGCAACAGTAAAATACTATAGATAGTCTTGTGAGTTTGTTTGATCAAAATGTACACACTACCTGCCCATTGTGTCTTGGTGTCATTTCTTGTGGTTAGATGTGGTAAGAGGATTGAGGGAGTGCTTATTCCAGGCTTGTAATTATTTATCCTTCTTGTGTTTCTATCTTTATTGGATTTTTTGTTTTTTAATCGTAATTCAATTCTAAGTGTTCCATTTTTTATTAAAATATGAGTACCCTGCTTTTGGTATCTGAATGTTTCCTTACATTGATAAACTTTTTATTTTTTATGTTTGTTTACCAAAACCTTTTCAATTATATTCTCAATGACCTGTCATGCATATCTGGCATTTGCTTTATTTCGATCTTCGGATGATGATATTGGCAAAGCAATTACCCATGATATCTGGTTAAGAACTTAAAACACATGTCCTGATATTTTACTATGGCTCCTCAAACAGTTCACATATTATACACAACTGTTTTCATAAAAAGTGTAGATATTCACAAGCAATGTTTTGTTTTATGTACTAGTTTGTGTTTGTATTGATGGTGTTGCCTATTTCCTATATTCTTGCAGAATCTCCAAAGCTAACTGACAGATGCACCAAGTGCAAGAACAAGATAGATTTTGGTGATGAGTACATATGTTGCACTGATTGCTCCTATCCCCATGTAATTGACAAGAGCACAAAGTTGGGCTACTGCAAAACTCGTGCAGAACTTGCATTGCAGTTAAAACCACATGGTAGTTCTTGTGCTGGCATCAAATTAGACTTCTAGTATAGGATGCGAAGTGGGTAACTTTTCCCTTTTTTTGTTCTTTTGTGGGTAGTTCAGCCAAGTTGGCAAGCACTACACTACCAACATGTGGGAGGGCTTTAAATCATTTATGCTGCAACTGTGGATAGTGAACTATATTGTGGAATGGCTGCTGCTCATGGATGTAGTGGTTCTTGTTTCCCATGGTTTACAGAAGTGTTCACATGGATCACTGGGCCCTGGATGAAATGCTCATCTCCATGTGATGGTGGGCTAAGGTATCGCGATGTTGGTTGTTTTGGAAAAATTGAAGATAGATCAATTGCACATTACCCAGTGGATGACAACAAATGTGTGGATGCTGAAATGGTAAGATTGATCATTAGTTATCATAATGGTGTATATACACAGATTTCCCTCCTTTGAATGCCTTTACATTATCCCATTTGGGGAATTTTATCTTTTTGGATCCTTCCTATTTCCCTGCAAAGATTTTCATCCTTTTTTTAAAGCTATACTCATTCTGTCTCACCTGGAAAATCCCATTGAGCCATTGATATCATAGTTGCCACTTAGTATATGGTATATAGGAAACGGTGTGATAGATTTATGTAATACTTACCCTTTAGCTTAAACTATGTAGATTGATGTAATACTTAACTTTTAGCTTCAACCATGTAGGATCACATGCATATGTCAAAATAGTATCTGAAATGAAATTCAAGAAATAGTGGCATCTCTCCAGAAAAATGTGACCACCTAGACACATTTAAAATGGCTGGATAATGAGAGGCACGAAAAATAAAAGAAAAGGAAAACTAAAAAATAAATGATGCTATCAATTAATGATTTGGTCATTTCCTTCAAGAACTATGTGGTTGTCTCTTGAAGAATGTGGGCTGCGATCCTTCAGATTTTTGGTTATGTCCTTCACACTAATGAACAGTTTCTAAGTGCTTCACATACTACCCAGAATGTCAAATGGGTGTCACACTCATCATTGCTCCTTAAATTGAATCTCTGTTGTTTTGCAGAGATGCCATAGTTTAAGTGGTCAGAATGCGTTTTTTCTGTAAATATCTGATACAATTTTCTGTGTTGCTCTAATTGAAGGATCGTGTTTCAACCTTGCATTTGTGGGTACCACCCTACTTACCTGGGAAAAAGTACTTCGATAAAATGCAAAAATTTGTCACATGGATTGGTTGCCTATTTACTATTTGGAAGCTGAAAGGTTGATTTTGCGAGTTAAATTGCTTTATGATAACTTGGCAGCCTGCACGACAAGAGCCTTGTAATCTGGAAAGCTGTAGTGACTATAGCATTGGTGACTCAAACTCGGGCACTCCAAAAAGAATGTCACCTTGGGCCATCTTATTACTCATAATTCTCTTTTTCGTAGGCATTGGTGGCCTTGGGTTTGCAGGTTATACTCTCTATAAGAGGTATGGCTCTTTGCTCTAAATTTCAAGTTATAACCTATTGACAGTCTATTTCGTGTGTTTTTTGTGGCCATGTAGATTTTGATCCTACTACGACCTTATGTCACTTGTATGCAGGAGGAAGAATCAAAGTAAGGGCTTTGTATATATTATGTTAGAAGGATATTCTTGATGTTCACACTTGTGTAAGTCTAATTCTGGGATACATCTAAGTTGAAGAGCACAATGCTGCAACTATGGGGCTCATAAATATTTGAAGTTGAATTGGGGGGATTCAATCATTTTACGGTATTTATTCAAATTCCACATTGTGTGTCTAGCATATCTGCTTGAACCTGAGTGTGCTTTATGCACTGTTACTGGTTCTACATTCATTGTATTTCATGTCTTTCCCACAACTGGGGATGTTGATAGAACAGCTAAACAAATGTGTCATTGCTTTGTTCGTATGGGGGATTGTCAAGTTGCCTATGCTTGTGTTTTAATTAAATTTTCTAATGCTTGCATATCCCCCATTGTCTATGCTATTTTGATGCCCTGAGGAATTGAGAAAAATACATCTCTATAAATATCTGGAGAAAAACTCTAAAACATTTGTTGGATTTTCTTTCGGAGGATTTGAACTTTCAGGTGAAGATGATCGCTGAGGAAGGATTATGGTTTTCTTATCACTTGTTCTCTTTCATGAGCAGCACTTGCTGAAATTATACTGCATAATTTCAAGTGGGTTGTACCCCATGATGCTGTGAATGGATTTTCTCAATTTTAGTAGAAGTCTTCAGTTTGATTGTTTTTGACATCCAAATCCATCGTACTTGATTTCTGTAACCAGATGTGCGGAGAATTAATTATAACCTTGTAAGTAGCTATAGAGATCGTACCACCATTGATTCTTTGACCATTTTGCAAAGGAACAATTAGGATGAGAAATCACAAATCCTATTTCTTCCCATGGCAGTTGGTTATTTAACCCGAAAAAAAAAAGCTGAAATTGTGGTCCGACTTGGTTCTAGGCAAACCCGAGTTAAAACGCATATTGTGATCTGAATCACCCGATTCAGAGCAACCAGCTGAAAAAGAGGGGAAAAAAATGGTCCAATTTGTTTTAGATTCAGTTCATTTAGGTGACATTTTGCTACGACTCTCTTGTTTTTGTGCAAGGATTTTAACTCCTAGTATTAGTAAAAGGGACAATAGAACATTGACACCACTACAATAGAAAACAAAGAAAGGTTTCGGAGTTTACCAATGAAGAATTACCATGAAAGAAGCTCTCATGCTTTGGACCATGAGCGTCAATGTAGGGGTGTGCTTCGGCCCTAGAGTCTCGATCCCACTCTCCGAGTGACCGGATCTCAATTTCATACGCTTCCTTGCGTATTTGGGTCTCGTACATGGAATTATGGGAACTCGATTTTTATTATTTGAGAACGAGCTCCCAAACAAGTGGTATCTAGATCTGCATGTCCATGGTCATGGCTCCAATATCATTCGGAACCATGATTCCATCATGCCAGGATCCGATTATCTTATACCATGGGGGAGCAAGCCAAACCTACAAAGTTTACTTTATTCGTATATAGTATTTGATTTTCCTCAAATTTTTTACGAAGCACACATTTTGCAATAACGCTTGTCTAGTATTAAAGAAAGGCAACTAGAGCAAGGACAAGATTGGAAGGAGGTTCAAAATCTTGCCCAGCATTGAGTGCCAGTTTAGAGAAGGGTAATCACCAGTTTAAAGAAGGGTATTGTGTGATTAAAGTGTAATGGTGCACTGTATACCCTAACAACGGTGCTTATTAACCCTAGCCCACCCATCTCGCAGCGTCCTCAAGGACAAGGATCTCTTCATCCTATGGTGGATCTCAACCCCACCAACCACCCTGCTGCCTCTTTTGGAGATTCAACGCATTTTCCCACGTTGGCCCCTAACCAACCCATCTTGTCTACCACTCGCGATGTAGGCTCTATTCATCCGATGGTGGACCCCTCCCCTTATTCACCTGCTCATGCTCTAAGCCCTCCCAACCAACTTTCTCCTCATCTTGTGCCTAGGGGCAAGGGTAACCCTATCCGATGGTCACCCCTAACCCATTTCATCTTGGACTAAGCCTTGTACCCTTCCTCGACTTACCACCACAGTGTGGGCCGTTCCCAAGGTCTTCCTCTTATGCGAGCTCTCCATCTATGGACCTCTCTCTACCTTTGCATACGACGTAAGACACCCCTTTGGCAAACCTCCACCTTCACAGCCTCTCGATTTGAAATAGGCAGCCTCACCTTTTGAGTCTATCTGGAAGTTGAGTCTCGAAGATCTCGGTCCTCATCCCTTCTCCCTCTGGTGGGCGCTTTGGAGTTACCCTCGACAGTCGTGACTTCCCCCTGCCGCCCCCCGCGTGAATAATCCTCGGTTGTAAGGGACAATTCGGGGTATATCCTGTCTCGTAGATCCCCTAGATAGTAGGACCCATCTCTTTCTCATCTATTTTCCTCGTCTGTTGACGAGAATGGCAAGGTCAATCCCAAATAGTCACTCTGTCCAGATCCCACCTTTAATTTGCCCAAGGAGGAGATGGGGTCGGTGTCTCAATTCATCCACCCCAACCCACCTAATGAGACCAGGCCTGCACCCACGCTGCACCCTATGCTTCTCTTCCCCATTACCCCCATTCCTATCCCTCTGTGCATTCTTATCCTCCCTCTTTCAGAGATCCCTTCCAGGATAAACTCTCGCCCTTCCACCTTGTTTCTTACGACTACAGCCCTCCACCCTGTGGTGCTCCTCTCTCAAAGGGGTCAACCCTTTCTCCTTATTCCTCTCGGTTCTCCCCCACGAGCTCTTTATCTCACTCTATGACTTCGATCGATTCCACTCGCTTTCATGACCTGCTCCGAGCACAAGGTGACCCTCAAGAGGTCATGAGAGTGATGGGCATCAAATTCAATGGGCCCTCAGAGGCCTTATAAGACTTCATTAATGCCGATTTAGTCTCATCCTCCACTACCAAAATCATGAAGTCAAAGAGGAAATTGGATAACCTGTTAGCTTTTGGAGCCAACTTTAACTCTGGACTTCTTCAAACCCTTACCCCTCGTCCTTCTTCTCTGAACCACTCAACCTCAGCAACCCCTTCTCAACTCCCTTCCTGTTAAAGGAGGACCCATACCTCATCCTTCTCCCAATAAAAGTATTAATGTGGAATGTTTGTGGCCAAGGCCAATTGCTAAAAAGAAATGCGGTTAGAGAACTGTGTGCTAAGCAGTCCCCTTCCCTTTTGGCTCTGTGTGAGACCAAACTGCCTTCTCCCACTGTTTCTGACAATCGAAGTGTTTGGGGCTTTAGGCCCTACTGGTGGACTGCTCTGGAAGTGCAAGGGGCTTCGGGTGGCATCTAGATCCTTTGGGATCCCACCCTACATGATTTGCTAGATTATGCCGTAGGCATTTTCTCAGTTACAGTGATCCTTTCCAGGTTCTCTGATAGGCTACATTGGAAATGCATTGCCGTCTATGGACCCAATGCCAACAATCTTAGGCCTTCCTTTTGGGCTGAACTACAAGCCATCTCCACCAGGTCCCTAGCCCCTTGGTGTTTGGGGGGGGGGGAGGGACTTTAATGTCACGCGGTGGTCTCATGAGGGTAATTCAAACCACTCCATGTCCCCGGGCATGGTGCAGTTCTCTAATTTCATATCTCACACCACCTCATCGACATACCCCTTGAAGGAATCCAATTTACTTGGTCAAACAATTCCATTAACCCCTCTCTCTTTAAGTTTGACCACTTCATCACCTCCCTTGAATGGGATCACACTTTCCTTGGTACTCATTCTACAGTCTTACCCAATACAATCTCCAATCATTGCCCTATTTTGCTTGATACTCAAGGCGTCCAACGAGACCCGAAGCCCTTTAGGTTCGAATCTTGGTAGATTAAGGAACTCAATTTCAATCAATTTGTGGTGGATTCGTGGAACTCATTTGTAGTACAGGATGGTCGGGATTCATGGTACAAAGAAAGTTGCAACTACTGAAATCCAAGTTGAAAATTTGGAAGGGACAACACCCCAGGAACTTTCGGGCTAGAAAGGAGGCTTTGATCCAAGACATCCAATCCTGGGACTCTGAGGAGGAACTAAGACCCTTGCTACCAGTTGAACATGATCTGTATGCTAAAGCTAAGTTTGATTACCACGACACTCTTCATAAGGAGGAGGTTTATTGGGTCAAGAGAGCAAGGGTCAAATGGCTCAAGTTAGGAGACTTGAACACATGCTACTTCCATAAGATAGCTAATTGTTTGGAGACGCAAAAATGCCATTACCCATCTCAAGGTCAGCAATGTGGTCCTAGACCAACCCCATCAGATAGAGCAAGCAGCAGTACACTTCTTCTCCAATCTATTCTCTTCATGCCATGGCCCAAGACCCACTATGCACGATATAACCTTTCGATCCCTTACTCCCATTAATGTGACATGGCTGCAACGTCCATTCAGAGAGACTGAAATTCTATTGGCTCTCAAGGATTTGAGCCTCGACTGTGCTCTCAGGTAGGATGGCTACCCTATAACCTTCTACAAAACCTTTTGGGAGCTCATACGCCCTGATATGTTGGAATTCTTCTCGGAATTTCACTCTAGAGGGGTCATCAATAAGGCTATGAGCAACTTTCCTCGCATTATTCTCCAAGATTGAAGGGGCTGAAGAGTTAAAAAGACTTTAGACCTATTAGCTTGGTCAATACAAACTACTGTCCAAAGTCCTTGCTTCCAGATTGAGAGTTGTGCTTCACTCAGTCATCTCTCATATCCAAGGTGCATTTGTCAAGGGCAACCAAATTTTGGATGGGGCTCTTTGGTTAGGTGCCTCGATCTCGCCCTTCGGATCCCTTGTTGATCGGGTGGTACGCGTCCTGGGTTTTGAGGGAAAACCCAAGACATTTTTGATATCGCTCTCTCGAGAACCTCGTTCGAGAATGGGGGCACATATTACCAACCGGTGAGAGAGGAATTTAAGGTGGGTGACTTAATCAGCCTGGCTCGCGTGGACACCCTCTTAGATCACGAAGAAAGTCCCCCCAGTAATAAAACTGGTTCAGAATCGCCTCCCTTGGCTTGTATTCTTCTTGTTTCTACAATCACATACATATGGCAAAGGTTATAAGATAGGTGGGTCGGACCTCACTCTTTTCCTCTTTGATGAACATACACAAGCATGCGAATTCAAAAAGAAAAATAAGAGAAGTAAGATGGGGGAAAGAAGAGTTCGACTGAGCAAGAGGATTAGAGCGGTGACTAAGCTGGTGAATAATTGGCCTGACGTGGTAGCAAAACGGGTTCGGTAACTAAGACTGGTTAACAGGATTACTACTAGACATCATTACCAGTACCGACTAGTTTAACTGTGTTTCATCACAGAAATCTTATTTTCCTTGCTTTCAACATGCTTAGTTTAACTGTGTTTCAT